AGCCAGCAGTGTGCCCAGGTGGCCAAGAAGGCCAACGGCATCCTGGCCTGGATCAGGAATGGTGCTGTCAGCAGGAGCAGGGAGGTGATCATGGCCCTGCACTCGGCTTTGGTGAGGCCTCACCTCAGGTGCTGTGTCTAGTTCTGGGCCCCTCACTACAAGAGGGACACTGAGGTGCTGGAGAGGGTGCAGAGGTGGGCTACCAAGCTGGTAAGGGATTTGGGGCGTGTGTTGTATGAGGAAAGGCTGAGGGATCTGGGGCTGTTTAGCCTGGAGGAGATTGACAGGAGACCTCAGCGCTCTCTACAACTACTTGAAAGGAGGTTGTAGAGAATGTTGTCAGGCATTGGAACAGGCTGCCCAGCAATGTGGTTGAGTCACTGTCCCTGAAGGTGTTTAAGAGACAGGTAGATTTTGTGTTCAAGGACATGGTTTAGTGGTGTTCACAGGGCTAGGAAAAGGTTGGGCTCAATCTTGAAGGTGTCTTCCAGCCAAAACTATTATATGATTCTGTGATTCTAAGTCTGTATGTAGTGTATAAGACCACTGCCAAAGCATGTCAGAAAGTCACTCTGCAAATGAAGAGGAAGTGGAATATAGCTCCCTGGCAACACTTTTATAACGATGTTATCTTGGCACTGAAATGGCACAGATCTACGCTTCATCCATGTTAGCGAACAGGGGACTAACAGACTGGAGAAGTCTCAACAGGCCCAAAGAACAGAGGCAAGAGCAAGCAGTGCAATATTTTCAAGAGTTTTCATCCCTTAATACTGGAATTCATGACCATTACACTGCAGGCAGCACTGCACTGCATTGGTTTAGCAACTTAGGAAGAAATTTGGTTGTAACTGTGCAAGAAAAGATACTACAAGGAAAATAACATCAAGCACGTGTACAAGAAGGTTAATAAAAACCAGTCATTAACTCAAAAGTGTACCAGCATACACACACACACATGCATGCACTGTATATAATGCAGAAGTCAATTCCTTTCACTTATTTTTCAGGAACTGAACAGAACATACTTGCCCACAGTTATGTGAAAATTCCCTGCCACTTTATTGACATAGAGATGACCATGAATTCTGCATGCATCTGGAGACTGTAATGAGTTATCTTCCCTGTTTAAACAAACAAATAAAATTTAAAAAAGAAAATATTACTTGATAATATTCACTGTCTAACAAATAACAGCAGTACAATTAGATTTCTTTTTTCTAGCATAAAGATACAGCATTATCATCTACCTCTCCTTATCATATTCTTCTCAAATTACAGCAGTGATGGTGGAATGGAGGGAAACTAATAAAGGTCAGTCTGATCCATTAAGCTTTCATTCATACTTTTATTCAGAGATCTGTCCTACAAAGCTAACTTACGATACCTGAACCTGGGAACAGAATAAGACTGTGAATGTATCTTTTTTCCAATTACTTTTACCAAAAATGCTTTATTGGAAAAAAATTAGTTCTACAATAAACAGAACAAAATTAACAACAATGCAGCAAGAACAACCTTCAACATTTATTTCTTATGAAACCTTCCTCTTCCCACACTTGTTGGGATGTCTACAACTCAAGAATATATTTTGAAATCTGATCCTTAAAGGGAAAAAAATAACCCCAAACCCAATTTTTAAACACATCTCATAAATACCATCTCAAACACTGCAGTAACAAGTATCACAGGGGCATGGAAGGCCTTAATGAATCTGAAGACATCAACTAAATGAGAAAAAAAAAATCTGAACCCTCTTCAGCCTCGCCTTAGGAAGAAAGGATTTATTTAGTCCTCAAACAGGGAGACTGCAACATAGAAAGTACACACAGCATTTGTGGTGTTTGTTTTATTTACAGCTTACTTGTGGGGGGTATTTTGTTTGTTTGAAAGGGGAAAACAATTTCAGCTTTCATGTAGAAAGCATTTTCCCCTGGAAAAAAAAAATAAAATCACATAGCATTTAGATTCAGTCAGACCAAGCTTTCTGTGCATTAGTGGGGAGCTGGAATAAAGTGTAAACACAAAGTTTTCTCCATACAGCTTTAGCAGTGCTATCTTTGACAAAGGCATTTACTAACAGAACATGTTTTTATTTAAAGGGTGATTCTTTCAAAACTATTAAGTCACAGCTAATAGCAGGACTTTTTTTTAATGTTGCTGAACAGAAAGATAGTATTTCTGTTAAAAAAAAAAGACTCCTTTAGTATTGCTTTAGCATTACTAATACACATTAAGAAGGAAGCACTGGATATAACAGACTAAAAAAAAGGTGTGTGTATGTATTTATGTGTGTGTCTGTACCATATACCCATATGTACACACAAAAAATCTGGAAACCTTCTCCAGGCTGGAAACCCCAGAGGTTTTCATAAAATAACAGCTCTCCAGAGCAAGTATCAAGTACACTATTTTAAAATGCAATAAAAAGCAGTGAGGTAATTTTTTCTTACAACCTTATCTTCTGGAAGAAAAACTGAAATAAACCTACAGTCACAACCACAATAAAACGTGCAGTCTAATTAAATAGGGCGGAGAAAGAGGGGAATGATGACACAACATCCCAATTTTTCTTACCGTGGTGGCAGTGCTGTAGAAGCACTTTTAAAAGCACTTTTGAATATCACATCTTGAAGAGAGTGCTCTTCCTGCAGCCTGCTCTGAATTAGCTGCAGCACCCTAAAGATTAGAGAGACATGTTTGAAAGCATGGAACAGTAAAAAAAACCCAAACTTGACAATTAATCATCAGTTGCAGATGATAAACTGAGACGTTAACAAGGTTCACATCAGTATTCAAGTGTTACGTTAAACTTTAAGAATGAGGTTTTATAGACAGCTTAAAGCTCTGGTGTTCGCAGTAGCGTGTTACCAAAATACTGAGACTAGGCAGACTCCCACATATGCTTCAGGTTCTATTACAAGACTATCAGTACAGCCATCACACACTTAACCGAGCTACTCCAACATAAACGATAAACAGCGTGTCAATTCAGTTATATGAAAGACACAAAATCATCTGCTTGCGTGAGAATGTGCCAACTCGTTACTATGGTTCAGCTTTGACATTTAGGTATCAAGCTATCTGTGTTACGCATCTGAACCCCTAATTAAAACCTGTGCTAACAAGCACTCATTTGGAAGCATATTTCAGCGAGTCCATACATCCTGCCGTGACTCAATTCCACAAGTAAATCCAAAGCCAATTTTTTCCATAAAGGAGATCTCAAGTCATGAGCAAAGCAAAGTAAATTAGTATCTTTTCACAGGTTTGCACTCTTAAATTAAAAGCAGGAGCTGTTAGACCCAAGACATAGCTGTGTCATGCAACTCTGGTGTACCTCAAAATCATTCCCAACACAAGTAACACAAATCACAGGCACGCATCTCTGTGCCTTACCTTTGCCATTCTCTTTGCTGTGGGCTGAGATCAAACACTACCTGAAACAAAAATAACACATTTACTAAAAACACGCAGGAAGCACTGAAGTCCTATCCATGAAACCTGGAAGAGAATTAGGGCGTAGGAAGGGGTCGGGTGTTACCATCAACTTCACACTTGGTACCACATACTGGAGTTTACGACAGGACTTTGCACTTTAAATAATACACCAAGTGTTCGAGGATGGACATTTCTGTCCCTTCCACCTACTCCTCCATTATTTGCTCGCTTGTATTTTTAACTTCAGCATCTTTTCCCAAAGCTCTCATAACCTGAATCAGGAGTCTCTGCCCTTCTAGCCTTTGCCTAACTAGAACCAGTGTGCAGCAATTTAATTCTAAGTACTATAATTGACACATACAGCTTTGATGCAAAGAGCAATGAAATAAGCAGAGAAGCATCTCTGAAAGACAAGGGTGCAGGTGCAGACTGATTGTTTCTTGGGTCATCCCACATTGAGCACTTCTTTAAGACATGCTGCCAGAGCTGCTATACTTCAGTCAGCACAAGAACACCACCAGTAACATCGGTGCACCACATTCAAATTTAAATAACACATAGGTACTCCAGACAGTAAACTCAACTGCATTTAATGCTCAAACCTACCCAGAGCTACAGCAAAAGAGACCTAGTACAGAAAGTTTCCTACTTATAAAATTTTAAGCTGCTAGCATGCAGCAGCTACGGCACCACAGAGATGATTGTCCAGAGAATAAACGTTCCAAGAAGAACAATCTAAAACAAGCTCCTTCCCCTTGCCGAGCGCATCCTTCCATTCAGCTATCTCCTCCTACTCACACGTACGAGGAGGAATTTGGACAAAACTCTAATAACTTGGAGTATAATTCAGTTATTAGGGAATGTAATAATTATAGCAGGAGGTTACGCTCTCTAATAGGTTTTCTATAAATGATGAATTACTTTCACACCTCAAAGTTTATTGTATTAAGCAAGCAAAATCACTTTAAGAGCATAGGCTTACACAGTTCCAGAGCCTTCGGTTCACAACACAGAAATTAAAAGGATACTGACCCAATTTATGACCTTTAATGGCATTCCATATTAAGACTTTCCACCCCTTTTTAGAACCACAGTACTTCTCTAGTTAAAAACCAGTAACGTCAATTCTCTCTTTATGAGAACTCTGATAGTTTTCCTTCTGTATCAAATATTGTGAGCTTTTATCCCCAGAATTCACACATCTAAAGATAACTAGCTGTAGGAATCACTGGCTTGTTAAGAAGCACCGATGAGGAAGTCTGCTGTATTCAAGAGAGTTGTATTTGCAGGGAGTGAATATGCAGAAATCCCAATGTCAGCCTTTGCCCTGAGCAGATTTGTGGGATGAGCACTGCAGACATCACTCAAGGATCAAACAATACTTGGGGAGGTTCTCTGAGGCCCAGTTGTGGGGGGATAAAAAATAAAAGCAAGCAAAGCAACCTAGCAGTGCTCTGCATCAAGTAAAAAGCAATTTCCTTTTTAAATAAAAGGTAAGAATCAACTTACTGGTTCGTAGATTAGCCCATCTGCAGAGGCAACCATGGTTTCTGCTAAATCCAGAACATCAGCCCCCACATCTATTTAGAACAGGGGAAAAAAATACTAAGTCATACAGATGATCATAAACAAACAAACAAAAAGTTGTAGTTGAAATGAAGATTCACAGTACAGCAGTAAACTTTCAGAATAAATTACCGTTCACTGTGAACAAAGTCCAAAGCAAAACAGAAAGAAATCTGGCAAGAAGTAGATTTCTGGGAGCTAAGTAGAAAGCACAGAACCCTATTTTTCAACCTGTCATAACAGAGTATCATCAACTCATGCACAGTGACCAAAAATAAACTTCTTGGATTTGCAGTATTTTTTCACTGATGTAACACCTTCAGAGACGTTGTATGAACCACATACCCAATCTTTCTAAGATCTGCTAGGCATAAATACTTTCTTCCTGTTTCCTAGGCACTGAATCCAAACAAAGACTAGTCACAACAGAGGATAAAATCATAGAATAGAATAGTTTAAGCTGGAAGAGGCCTTGAAGATCGAGTCCAGCCTTTGTCCCAGCCCTATCAACCTACTAAACTATGTCCCCCAATGCAACATCTAGTTGTCTCTTAAACACTTCCAGAAAAGTGTTATTCATCAAATTAAAACAAAAATTTTTTAAAAGTCAGTATTTCCAAAATTTTTAAGGCTAACTGGAAAATAATTTTAAAAAAATAATTTTAAGAGAAAGAATGGATCACTTGTGGATTAATAGTTGCAAGACAAACACCAATTGCACAGTACTGATGTACCATACCATTAATGCAAGGTTTAGCCTAGTCAAAAAAAGTGAGTTTTGAAGATTTGCTTGCATTCCTGGTAGAAATACTATTCTCTCTCCATCTGAGTGAGGACAACCACAACCAGTCCATACAAATAATGGTTCATTACCTAAATGTTATCAAAAGAATAATAAACACTGCCTTTAAATGGTTCATCAGGAAGATGAAATTATCTGATGGTTCCATATTGTCAAACAATATACCAGGTTAATATTTGCCAAGTTCATAAAAAAATAAAAGTTCTGCTGAACTCCTGCTGCTGAGTTGTGTACCCCAATAAGCTTTTAGAACACTCCAATTAAAGAGAGACTAGAACAAGAGGTCCTTTTTTTTTTTTCACTGAGAAACAAAGCAAAGTTCTGTGAGAGGAGATGGCATAAATACTTTTCTTCAGATCTCCTACCAACTCTTCCAGTGACTCGTATGCCATTAAGATCACTACATGCCATCAAGATCAGAAGAAATCTCAGAATATTTTTAACAATACCCAACCATATTGCAAGCACATACTCTGAAAAGCTGAAAAGCTGTTAAAGTGTTTCAAAAATTCCACTGATAGAATACTTACATTGACACCTCATGGCAACTGTAATATCAATATTGATTCTTAACTTACTGGAAAGAAAAAAAAAAAAAAGGCAAAAAGTTAATAAGTAACATTAAGTACAAGTATCAAGAGATACTTTCTCAGATGACTTGCATAAACATAGTCAGAGAACTTACACCAATAAACTTACGCTGACTAAAACTTGGGTGAACCAAGATAAGACTTTTAAAGCACTGATGACCACTCATAACTTAAAAACATCGGATTACCCTGTTGATTTTTACTACAAAGCTCTCGCTTTTTTTTTTTAAATATTACTGGCCCAAGAGTTTGTCAGACTCTTACTAATATGCAGTTTTTGACGCTTTATACATTTTTTTTCCACACAACTATAACAGTGCGATGAATTCCACAGAATGCAGTGGATCACGAGAAAGTGGGAGTTACAAATCTAAAACAAGTAATCATGTGAGCACCTTCCTCCTGTTTTGCCCTTATGGCAGGCCACTGTATTTCCAACACCAACCAGAGTTCCTCAGGGCAGTGACATTCAGGATTGGGCTGAGAAGTTGCTAAAACCAATTGCCAGAAAACGCTGCCATGTCATAAAGATTGCTGGTTTTGCCAGCACTGCTTCTGGAAAAAGCTCTTTTCTCAAAAACGCTCCAATATTATAATAGCAAAATGCCTTGTATTTCAGCATCTTTATCCTGAATGTTTCCATAATGAGGGGAGGCAAAACATAGTTCTCATGACAGCAAAAAGGAAAAAAAAAAAAAATCAACACTCCCAAAAATCCATCACACCAGAAGCGTGATTGTGTGGCATTCTCCAATATTCTGGGCATTTCCTCTTGGTTTTCATGTTACTTTCACAAAAGCCATTTAAACTATAATGAATATATCCCCTCACTATAGTCCTTTCACTTCCAGGGAGCTTCTTTTGGGAACGTGGCTCCCCACAAACAAATCACAAAAGCAAGGGACTCAACATTGTCTCAGCTTGGGACCAGACATGGTCAGCAGACAGGAAAAAAGCAGCTGAAGTGATACCAATCTCTGTTGGTTTAAACTGTCACAGAACCACAGGCTGAGTGATGAGCCCACAGTCAAACCCGAAAATCTGCAGTAGGACATCTCCCAAGTCCCTTAATAATCTCTTAACCGCTAGATTATCCTTCCCACATGATAGCTACACTAGGGAAATAGCCTACTTTAGCGAAGACCCAAATATGAAATTCCTGTCTGTCTGAACGGATTTACTTTAACTTGAGGGTTTTTATGCACCTCCCTTCAATTTCTCGTATTTTTATCTCCTCATTAGAGAAACCTTTGGCATTTCTGATGTACAAGACAACCAATAAATACATATAACTTTAGCTTGTTGCCACAGCAACTAGTCAAAGAGCTATTAACGTTATTTCAGTTTCAGGCACATGATATTTAAGGGTGTTCAGTGCACAAAATCTCCATTAACTTCACACAGACTGACAAACTCAGGAAGAACGGCAAATACGCTCCATACGAGCTCATGAAACCAAGAGCAAAACTCTTCAGCTGATCTTGGAGCCCATAACTTGAGACAAGGTCAGTAGCAACCTCTAGGAAAGGCGGTCAAAGTTCGGAGTGCTTAAGGTTCACCTCCAGCAGCACAAAGTAAAACAGGAATACACAAATCAAACAAACTAGAGTAAGCATCATGCAAACATGGTGGGTTTACATAGTTGATGAGGAGTTAGATATTACAAAGTCCCCTGAATTATTAGCAAGTCATTCCTCAGGGGATGCCACCCATAAAACTACACCATTTTGACTTTCATTGCAGAAATCTCAATTTCTCTTCTTTATATACTCCAGAGAAGGAAAAAAAAAACCAAACAAATCAATCCACAGAAGAAAACTCAGGTCCTTTTAGTATTTCGGTTTTTTGTATCAATCACAAATTTCACACAAGTCACACAAATATTTTTAATCTATTCTGGCCTGCAAAGCAGACAGCTTAAATTTTAAAAGGAATTACAATGAATAAAAGTTACCTAGTAAAATCCTTGTCTACTTCATATTCATATTTCATCCATGTGTCCCGATATACCATGAATTCCATTACAGTCAGGAAAGCTATTGTTGTAAATGCTATCAGAGAAACTGAGTGGTCAAAAGAAAGGAAAAAAAAAGTTTAGAATGTGAGAAATATTTAGAAACATAAGCACAACAAAATTCTCACATTCCAAAATGTAAGCATTACCAGTACAATAGCAGTATCTTTGATTTATAAATTCATAAGCTGCTTTTAGAAAAATGTTTCCAGATCTACAGTATTTGCTTTTACATCAAATGGGAAAAGAACAAGTCCTACCTTTGCATCAAGAAAGAACTTTTTACCTTAAGTACAAATACTAGAATGATGGGAAGGTTGTGAAATCTCTGAATGGAAGAGTTAAGAACAGGTTAGATCCTCTTCCTCACATAAAACAAAAGGACCACAAATCACTGCCAGGCAAACTCAACCCTAAATTCAAGAGCAGGTGCACCCCGAAGTCCCTTCAAGCCTCCACTTGTCTGCAACCTAAGTTTTCATAACAAATCTTTTGTAATTGGTTTTAGAGTCGAGAAGCTAACAGACAAGAGAAATTATACACATTACATGCACTGACCACTTAGAAAAAGGTGCCCTGATTACATTACTTGTGTCTAGTTGCACAGTCAGAACTCCCACCCCAATATGACAAACACTCTCCTGGCTATAAGCAACACACAGGTACCTTTTCTGCCAACAGCTAAACAAGCAAAAAACTGACTTGAAATTATTTTCATGACAAAAATTAATTGGTATATTTTAACAGTTTATGTGCCTCACTTATCTCCAATGCAGCCTATTCATAACACTTGCAAAGCTGCACAACGCAAAGGGAAGATTATCCTACCACACGTAGTCAGAAACGTACCAACAGATGCCCAGAAGCACCTACTCTGCTCCTTTTATTAAATGGGGGCTTTTGTTATGTTGAAAAGAACTTCAGTTATGGAGCAGAGCAGTGACCTGCACAGCTTATTGACAGTAGATGCCTTCCTTCTGCATTCTGTGGAGTATTTCTACAGAGTCTGTGAAGGGCAGTTTGAGAAAAAACAAGCCCCATTGCCAACAGGCTTCAAGTCACCACACAGTGGTGTACAGCGCGGAGGTGGCGGCCGGGGCACACGGGCACCGTCCAACAGGATCAGAAGAGAAACAACCGGCTGCAGCACTGACCGCTGCACTCAGCAGCAGCACTTCAAGTTCTAGCTTTCAGCTGAAGCTACGCAACAGTCACACCTATGAAAAACCTTCATGATGATGTACACGATGAAAGCAGAGGCACCAATCAGTGAACTATTCTGGCCATCAATCTCCTTTTGGAGCCCAGTAGGACAGACTCAGCCCAGCTATGCCCCAGGAACACTGGGGCCATACCACTCATCCAAAGCCACAAGGAAACAGCTGCTTCCCGGGTGATTCTGAGCAAAGGTTATTTGTGGATCTGAACAGGAAAATTAAGTCTGGTAGAACTTCCAGAGACAGAACCTCTCTTCTGAAGGCTCTCCCAGCCCCAGAGCCGGAGACTCAGCCTGCTTGAGAGACCGGTACTTCTTTCGCAGTGGTTTTGAAGGCAATGACAGTCTGAGAATAGAGTCTTGGTGTGTTTTGCATCCCTGTCATACCAGAAACTAAGCCTGGCACTTTAGTCATGAAAGAAACAGGAACACTATATCCAAATTTTATAACGGCATAGAACAAGGATATTGTCATTTATAAGGTTACTGAGATAAACCAAAGAATGCTAAAGTAACTTCTAGTGTTGAGAACTCCTTAAAGCACACTTCACCAAAGTGAAGCTCTCATGAAAGATTCATTTACTGTTTTCCTGCAATTTACAATATAAATACAATTTGCTTTCTCAGGAACCAGGACTAACATTAGCAACAAATTATTTAATCAGCTCTTAAAGATTACTTTATATACAATAATCCTTTAATTATTAACAATGCCATTCAGGAAACACAGTAAAGCACTAGATATCCTTGTGATATTTACTTCTACACTACAAGTGGCATAGTGACTTCAAAGGCTTATCTGTAGATTGCAATTGTTTCTTGAATATTTTATTCAACAGAGTTCCAGACATAATCACACCTCAGAGAGATTTTTGTCCTCCATTTCAGACTAAGTGCTAGCAGTTTCCTATGGAACAGCAAACAATTCCAACAGTCTAATTCCTGATGGGGCTACCTCAAACTCACCCAACTCAAAGGCACAATTTTCTGCTCAGATACATCAGAAAAGGTATTTCTTACAGCTACAGCTTCTTGAGAGAAGTTCAAGCGACTAACAGGGACAGTACAAGCACATGCCCTGGAGTAAAGTGTTTAGTTCTTCAAATGGCTTTCCTTACTCTTACTACACCTTCAAGACAAAAGGCTTAAAAAAGCTGCTCTTCATCCTCACGCTTAACTTAGCCAGCTCAGACACCTCTGGAGAATGTTTTCCCTCTTTTATGAAAGTAGAGAGTTGAATCTCACACAAACTTCAGCTCAAGCTGACACAGAGAAAAGTGCTTAGTGGGGCAATAAATGAGGAAGTTTTATTACGGCCTTGTCACAGTGCACTTCCAGTTGTAAATGGTTAGAAGTTTTTACAGCGAACCTTTACAATGGTTTGAGTCTCACCAGCTTTACACAAAAAACTCACTTCAGATCAATGATGAATGCATTTATTTGGATATTATGTCTCTACTTGAAGGAGATGAGCTCTGTCAGTCCACTAAAGAAATCAAGAAAACAATTTTGGCTAGTTTTGAATGAAGAGATGTCTGTCTTCTATCTAGGTTTCTATTCCCAGAGCACACTAGATCAAGCTAATAGCCAACAAGAATCATGTCAGCATTTCAGTAAGGCCTACCTGTGCCTCCGCTCGCTGAAGTCTCCACATAGCTTTCAGGAACCTTTGGAAAGGCATCCAGTTCTTTCATCAAATTCAATGTTTTCTTCCGATTCAGTCGCCTCATCTTCAGAACACTCCTCCACCTCCTCCTTCATATACTCCCTCTGTTGTGAGAATAAATGGTTGTGATTAAAAGACACAAGCAATATTGCTCAAACCAACTGGCTAGAATAATAAAGTAATAAGGCTTTAATTAGTAAGAAATATGTTTTAAAGAAACACATGCTAGACAACTGGATTGTCACTCTTGCTTCAAGAAAACTATTAAAATTGTCCTGCACACTGCTGCTTACATTCCACCCACAGCCAGCACATTCACCATCTAATTACCATTTTTTTCTCCATTAAATTCTTATTGGTATTGGATATAATTTTAAATTAAAAAACCCAGAGTCAGTCCTGAAGTAAGCTTGCTAAACAGATCTGACAACACATGGAAGTGCCTGCCTTAACAGGAAATATCTAATAGCCTGCATAAACTGCAGGAGGATGTCAAACTGCTCTGGGCTCGTGTACGCAGCCAATGTGGGCATGTACCCGTACCAAGTGCTCAAGGAAAAATAAAGTGCATTTCATGTGTTTACAGCTGTAGAATTTTATGGCCATAATATAATCAGCACTTTTTTCCTCTATAAAAATGCCTCACAAAGCAAATGAACTACCAAATTCTAGCTCCATCCCTCAGAATCCTTTCTGTCCATGACACGATTTCTGCTCTGCCTGGAGTCGCTGACATATCATGCAGCCGGATGCCGAGAGAAGCAGCGTGCTCAGGAAATACTGTCTTAAAACTGTTTCCAAATGATGCAGATATGCTCACAACCCAGTCCCGCCAACATGCTGCTGCATGTTTTAACAAGTTGGCACTGCTGCTTTCCTTCTGAGGAAATGCTGCACTTTGCCCAGAATTTCTGAAGCTACAAAACCCATCATGCATTTACTGTATTCTGAGATGTCATATTACTGCCCTTTATTTCAAGACAAGGCAGGCAACTGAACATACACTACCAACATATGAGACACTCCTCATCATTATCTTGTAAAAAAATCTGTTAACCCATCTCCCCCATTCCTGTTTGAGCATATCAGGTCTCCAGCATGTCCTAGTGAAATTACTCAAGAGCTACTCCCTGCTCTGCCCCTCCCTGGTGCTGAGCAGGTTTCGTACTGTGCAGTAACAAAGCGATATGCCCTGCTGGAAATGGAAGTTCACACATGAAGGATCACAATCTATGCCTGCAATCTCTTCACAAATTTGCTTCGGACTTTAGTGAGACAATACAAATTCTGCGCTTGGTGGGAGAATCGGTGAAGTCAGCCTGCAGAGACCAACAAAACGATTCTACGTGTGTCGCAGAGGATTCACAGAAACCACAGTTAGAATGAGCAGAGAAGATGGGTGCTAGAATAGAATTTTGGTTATAGAGCATCAAAAAAAAAGAAAAAAAAAATCAGGTAAGCAAGGCCCAGACAGGACCACAGGACATAATTTTTTAAAAATACAATAATCTCAATTCCACCCTAAGTAGCTTAAGCAAAAGTTGGGAAAACTTTGGAGCAAAGATATGGCAAATCAGCTCCTTGAACGCTGACTGGAGCCACAACAGAGGGGAAATACCGGTGAGGGTTGCCTCCCATCCTACGCAGGTGGCACTGAAGTCAGCACCGCTTTATTTCCCCAGAGCCTCCTCTGCTATCACACGTGTAGGAGCACACCATAAAGAGGTACAAGATAAAACCAGAGAATATGAGAGCACTTTACTAAGAAACTTTCTGCATCAACCTGCGTCAGTGAGTACGTGGATTCTGGTAAGCTAGCTAGGAGTATCCACTTTTTCAGTTGTTTTTTTTTTAATCCCACGTATGCAGACTCGCATTCCGTTACAAACCGAGACAGACATCCCATGCGTTCTCCCCGGTGCACCGCCACACAGCTCGGAAACAACGAGTATAAAACTTGGAAGCCACTGCTGCGAAAGTAACATATTATGAAAAAGCCAACTACATTAAGGAATAATATATATATACATCCACACATATATTTCACAAGATTACAAAGTAAAACAGCGTAGCACGAACGCCACTCGAGGCCAGAGCGCC